GGCTGCTATCCAACCTTAGTTTTAGTAACTATGCTTGGAATGAATTTTCAGAAAAGAGCCAACGTTCTTTGGCTTCTTATATGCATCTCTTCCGAACATACCCTTTTCTCTACTGATCAGAACATCCAAAAAGGATAAGAACCTATAATCTTCTATTTTCTTCGTGAACCTATTGTTCCTTTCACATTAGTTAAGTTAAAGTTGCTAACTATCTAAGCTTTCCTAACCATGAAGCCGGATGACAAAGTAGTCATCCAGATATATAAACAACAATTTGGGGGTAAGCATTGCCTCTTCCAATAAGCCTTCCTTATGTTTGACCATATTGTTGTTCGCCATGAAGTGAGCTAATCAAGATCCCATCGCAAGTCCTTGTGTATGTTCATTAAACTTGCCATCAAAGGTAAACAAATGGATAAGTTAAGAAGTCTAAGGATGGAGGCTATACTCAACCTTATTCCATATATCATTTCTGGAGGCTCCTCCAGAGTTTGCACTAGACCTTAAATGGTTCCTTGACCAGGAATAGTTGTGTACATATACACAGTACCAAAACTTACTAGCCTATCCACCTCCAAATTTTTCTGCTGATCAACCAATTTTACAGACTTATAAGAATTATTAGCTGAATATAGCCACATTTCGTATTTGAAAGCATAAAAAACTTGAGATTTTATGCATCACGCTCCTTTTTTTATTTTCATTTAATCTAAGAGAACACCCTGTTTGTGAACCTTAGGGAGACCGTAGGCCGTGGAAGCCTTTATATCCCACTGGAGTAGCGAATTCATTTTTAAGTTTTTCATTTCACCCTTACTGACGCATACCTTAAGAGCATCCTTCAGCCTATTATTAAGTCTCTCATTTGGATCTCTCATTATAGGCATATATGAATCGGTATTATTTGAATGAAATAGCATTTTTCCATATAACTTATTAATCTGACGTTATTTTAAATTAAGCCTAAGGTATAGTTATCCTCAATTAATATTAGTTTATGCCTATCTAGCCCATTATCACGATAATCTCAATCGGCAACTCTTGTGCTATGAATAATAATTGATTTTAACAGAGAAACTATTGTCTTGTAATTATAGTTGGAGAAAAAGTAAAGAATAAGGCCAGCCTGTGCTGGCTTCTTACATATATTTCTGTCCAACTTCTCTCCTGTTCTGTTAACAAAAAAACCAAGGGCTAGATAAAATTATACTTACCTATTTTTACTGTGAATTGAATATTGCCAACTAGCTGTTTATGAAAATAAAAGAAATTATTCAATCTATCCTAAGTATGCTGTAAAATTGATAAATACTCATCTCTATTTCTAACTAGCATTTCCATGAAGCATTCCTCCATTCTCGACATGTGATTATTAGCTAAAATGGGACTGAAAAAAGATTCATTTGAAAGTCCTTGCATCCGTTCGTAAAGGTTTTCGTTAAAGGCGAAGTATGGGCTACTCAAGGATAGATTAAGTAGTCTTAAGTTTTAAGCTTTTTCTTAGATATTTTTCTTCAATACTCTTACGCTTACAAGGGAATAATGCTTCTTAAAAAGGCTCTTACGCGCTTTTATGCTTAAATAATGCGGTTATTATTAATAATCATTAGTCTTATCCAGTTCTAAAAGAGCTACAAAAGACTATATTAACTATGATGTATAGACGAGGTTTCACTTTTTATTAAATTTCACATAGTCATGAATCCCATAAGGTAGCTATGCCCCAAGCCTGTCTGCACTCTCGGCATCACTCCATCGCCTAATCGTTTTATCGTCAACCAGAGCAGGACTGGGACCGTGGCTTTGCGGAGTTTGAACTGGAGTTGCCCTAGGTCGTTTAGGGCAATGATGGACTTGCCCACAGCGCTATTCTGTAGGCCTCACGATGTCTTTGTATTTCCTTTAGCCTTCTGGTCGGATCAGCAGGCCTCCTCAACATAAACACGACCACACTAGCACGAAACCCTGTACCAGATTCAGCTGGCTCTACTTCTTACAGGGAGCCAGCTGTATCCGGCTTTGTCGCTTGAGCTGAGGCTCGTCTGCATATCTCGAAGATGATTCGCTTCTTCTCAGATTCCTACAAGGCACCGAATCTCCTACGGATGATGGCTGGAAGATATTACTTCTACGATCGGATCAACGGATTGGTACGATCTGACGGAACGTCGGGTGGACTGTTCTCGCACTCCATAAAGCCTTCTGGAGGGACAAGTCTAGTCTACAGGCGCAGAAAGTCAGGTTATATGCGCAACTATTCAGCGATACACACAGACTCACGTGAAATCGTTTACCAGCTCTATTAGAATCGAGGGAATGAGGGAAGAAATGAGCATGTTTTGATCGATTAAGCCGAAATTATTCAATCAATTTCTATATCAGCCTTGACTGCCACCAACTTCTGCCTCAGCCGCTAAAGATAGGATAGGCTGTGTCCCAAAAAGAATCTTATGTAGATTCATATAAAGTGGATTTTGAAATTATCAGTAAATCTTGAATAACATTTCTGCTCACCCTTAGTCACACAATACACTAAAAGATTGATTTTTGAATTTTGCAACAGTCATGTTTAGAGGCCTAATGTTTCCATGTAAATTCACACAGTCTCGCTTGCCACTTCATCTAGGTCTCATCACCCTCCCCAACGGTAATATAACCTTATTGAGGAAATGAAACATACGATTTTGACATGTTATCACCACGCCACACTACTAAATATGCCAGTTTGTTAAAAGATAGACTCGGATTTTAGGGAGAGCCAGACCTTTCCATAGCATATATATTGTGGGATTACCAGTATGGTACAGTTCCTTTTTGCCATTTGAATCGTCTACGCTAGTTAAATTCATAGTAAGTAGGTTTTGAATAAGAACTGTATTCGTTTCTGATTCCACTCTATAATTGACTAGTTGGCAATTAGCGGTACTTGACCAGTTGGGTTGTTTTATCATATATCTACACCAGGAGGGTTTAAAATGGCCAAAACTGCCGCTGGTTCGGATACAAAAATTG